TTATGGAAAAAAATAAATTAAACAAGATTTGCCTGAGCATTACATCCGAATTCCTCACCAAATTTAAAATAAAAATAAAATACGGAAAACAAATATTAATAATATAAATAAATAAAAATAAAAAGAGAACTAAATTTAGTGAGTGCGCGAGCATATTTCGACACCGCCATCTTTGGCGATTTTTCATTTTGTTTTGGCATATCTAATAAATGCCCTGAAAATTTACAGATGTGTACTTCACATAATACAAAACCCACTAAAAAAGGTAAAAAAATAATAAAATTGTTTAGACCCCGAACTAAAGTGAAAACAAAAAGTAAAAAGTGAAACAATATGTGGGCGAGTACGTTTTGACACCGCCATCTTTGGCGATTTTTAATTCTTATTGGCCTTAGCCAAATAACTTGAAAATTTACTGGCATGTACCTCACGTCATAGAGAACTCACATTAAAAAATTCAGAAAAAAACTAATTATTTTTAGGCCCCGAACTAATTTTTGGCGGGGGCCGAACGCCGTCGGGTTCGGACCACGTACGGGATCCCGAACGCCCGTACGTACGGAGGTCTGCCTGGGGACCTCCGTACGTACGGGCTGGTGACCCTGTATGTATGTATATATATATATGTATATATATGTATATATATATATATATATATATACTGTCATATAATATCAGAGCGCTAAAGCAAAAAGCAGAAACAGAGAAAAACTTAATTCATTTTTAATCTTCTTCCTTACAACTCCCACTGTTCAGAACCTTTTGCGTACAAGGCCGCCCACGTGGATGTAGGTTGAGCGGCGGCTGCCCCCACCCCCGTGTGTCATATCGACCCACTTGCATACAGTCAAAAGACAAAGAGGCAAAGAACAGAGGAAGGGAACAGTCAAATTAATCAGAACAGGGAACAACAAACCAGATCCCAGATGACAAGTCCCACATGCAAGCACCGCCCTTGCCCACAGACCAAACGACGGGATAAGACCAACCAGGATGTCAAAACATTCTTGTCTGCAAAGAAAGAAAAAAAAAGTACCAAAAATAACCCATCCCGGATGACAATGCCCACATACAAGCACCGCCCCACGCTCAAAAGGTCGATCAACGGGAAACAACCAACCAGGATGCCAAGACAATAAAAAAAAACATGGATGACTAGTCCCATATGAAGCATCGCTGTCGGCGCGAGTACCCTTACAAGGGTATCCGCCCTGGGTTTTGCAAATGACAGAAAATAAGTTTAATTTAAAGTTTGAGCATACCGCATGATTCACGACAATGTTGGTCGTTTACGTCTGACTGAAGGTTGACTAGAGTAGATAGTGAGTGGACGCGCAGGCTTAAGGCGTGCGTGATCTCCTTTTCCTTTTGATGACTGGGAAGAATGGCGTTGGTCGTCGGCCACATTTTTATTCTTCTAATTAAAGTAGGATCCGCCTCGTGATTAATACACTTGTCTGGGACCTATGCGTATGTACGGGAGGGCGCGCGCGGCCGCAGTGGCGTAGTTGGAGTAAGCCGGCGAGGGTGTTTAACGGCCGCAGGCTTGATAGTAGGCGGAAACGAGCCCCAGACCGCCTTTCTGGCCCCGAGCGTTGCGCTGCACCACATTATATAGGAGACCGCGCACACTGGTTGTAGGCCTGGGATTTGCCCTATTGGTTACGGCATTGGACTTGTGAGACGAAGATATGGGGATCGAGGCCAGCGACGACGACGTAGGGGTGATGGAGCAAGGGTGGAACGGAGGGGTTGAGGGTCCCATGGGGCTATCCCCCTTAGTTTTGTCGAGGGAGTCTGATCGCAGACCCGTTTGGCCGAACCAGGGGAGTGCTGACAGGCCCCACAAGTTGTTCTCCAAAGGTTGCCTCTCTTTTTTTTTACTGGCCGGCCTTACTTTTATTATGTTGCCCCCTGCCTTTATTCCGAGGCGCCGGTTCCAGGCCTGGGCCGTGGACCCGTGAGCCTGGCTCGGTGGGAGCGCCTAAGGACTGTTGGCTTGCAGGTGGCGGTCGGGCCCAGTCAAGGAGGGGTCTCAGTGGAAAAGGGCTCGGGGTTTGCCTGAGGGCGAAGCCCGCTCTTCGCCGGTAGGCCCGGCGCAAAGGTCGTTTGGCTTTGACGGTGCCGAGGGGCACTTGCCCCGGTGGAGTCCTTCGGGACATCCGTTAAAATTGGAACGATATAGAGAAGATTGGCATGACCCCTGTGCACGAATAGCACTCATAAATCGAGGGAGGGACCGCGGCGATTTTTAAGTTTCTCGTTTTTATTTTTGCCTCTGTTTTAGCGGTCCATTTTTGTTGGGCGCCGGCGGGGGTGCGCTGCTGCTGAGTCGGTCGGAGTCGAGGAGCGGGCCAGGCTGCGCTAAGAAGCATCGGGGAGTGGGGAGTGGTGACGCCAACACGATGGACTGAATCCGGACGGGGAGCGAACCCGGGTGCATTGGAGCGGAGTCGGAGATGGTCGTAGTGGAGAGAAGGAGGCGATGGGGGCGGAAAATGCCTAGCGCCCTCAATCCCTTGCGGATCCCGACAGTCTAAGAGCCGAACCCGGGGGTCTTGGCCCAGGCGAACATCGTGGCGGGGTTAGTTTTGATGTTAGGGTAGTGGTTAGTTCCGTATAGGTGTCGGGAGCTGCGCGGAGACATGGCGGGAGGTAAACGAAGAAGGAAGGGAAAATGTATTTTTTGCTTGTTGATGGGCAAATTTAATCAAGGGAAGGTTCGTTTTGGGGGTTTTAGACTATGGCGACCTCGGATCCGCGGTTAGTTTAGGAGGAAAGTCATTGTAGAGAGGGTTAGTTAAGAAGGTTAGTGCGTGGGCTATGGCGGAAGGGAAAGGCGGGAACGAGGAGAAAGGAAATTTGTGTAGCCCGCTCGTCCCTTAACGAAAGCGAGCGAGTGAAGATCGGATTCTTGGGTTTCCTGGCAAGGCGAATCCGATCATGTGGTTAGATTGGCGGGATACTGAGTGATTCTTCGATGGCATGAGTAAAAGGCCGCGTGAAGGAAAGGAACGAAAAGGAGATAGGATGGAATCACTTA